CTGAAAGGACATTTTCCATGACTGAGACTGGAGAAAATAGACGTGGCACTTTTTTTAAAAAAAAAGAAAGTCAGTGTAAATCTGAAATGTCAAAAATTCAAACGTAAATCCTCCCATTTCTTTCAAAATCAATGTATTACTTCAATTAGGAAACAGGCTTTTTAAAAATTATATATGAAGTTGTGCCCCGACACAAAAATTCTCCAGGGATTCAGAACAGGAACCAGCAAGGAACATTTCCCCATCTAGTGGACAAAATGTTCTTTGGCGTTCCTTGGGAGCAATGTTGACTCTGCAGGCTGTTCTGATTAAGTCTTGTTTCATCAGTCCACATCTGTTTGAATCAAGCTTTTTCCTGGGCTCCAAAAAATGGCAACAGGTTGTTGCCCTTGCAGTTGTGTTAGACCTTCAGAAGAAATAGGAAGCTTTATTTTACCAGGTCTGTCGATAAAGGACATGATGTAGGATTTGAGGAGAAAAAGTTCTCTATTTAGCCATCACAAAATGTCTTCTGTTTGAAAATAGTTACACGCTCTGCTTTAGAAGAGCTTTTGAGAGCTACTGAGGGGAAGAGAGAGCCATGGAATTGTTTCTCTTTCCTGTTTCCATACAGGAAGTATTATACTTCCTAGTAAACTTCCTAGTAGGCTTTGCAATAGTGAATTAGAAACTGTGGATCTTATCTCACTCTGTCTGTCAGGGAAAATAAGAAGTTTTACATCAGCCTGGGTGCACTCTGATATTGTTTTATAGTACTTGGCTCTATATTAGGTTTTTAGGTCTGTTTTGAGTTTCTTTCATTGAAGAGGCACAGTAGAAAGAAATAATTAAAGGTGCTTCTCTCATCATTTCCTGTAGCTTAAAAGATTTTCAGCATTTTACATTGGAAATTAAATTGCCACAGAAAGTTCTGAAGTTATTTTTTAATTATTTCATTTCAAACTCTTCATTTATGATGCAGCTATTATTATTGTCTGCATTTTAACTGCTCAATTTACATCAATCTGTCTCTTATAGACTCTTATGAATCAGCTGAATATCAACATGCAGATCCAGGAAAGAAAATGGATTGAATACTTGGACACATGAGCAGGCCGATTCATAGATCTAACGTTTCAGTTTAAGACATTTTTGGATTTGTGGTGGTAGTTCTTTTAATTCTAAGCAGCAGTCAGCCAATTAAAATTACTTGTGAAAAAAGAAGCTTTTTGTATTCTAATATTCATGGAACATTGAATTTTAATTCAGAAAACATATTAAAACTTATTAGATATAAGTCATAAATGTAACTACAGCTTGTTGTGCCCTGATTGCCAGTTTGGATTTTTTTAAAAACCTGAATACAATTTAAATGAATAACTGACTGCCTCTTCCTGTAAAGACAAGAGTGCAGAACATAAGAATCCAAAAAAAAACAAAAAAAAAACACACAACTCCCTCTTGAAAACGGCCTCCAGAACTGCTCCAAAAAGTCGCCACTAAACTCTAATTTTTAATTAGGAAGGAGAGACAAGCACTAAATAACTGGGGGATTTAATTTTAATTGTATTTTAAATTAGAAATAAATCTAGTTCTTTTCTTGGCTTCACTAGCTTCCTTGCCTAGCTCCAAGTACACCCCTCCTGAGGCACTAAGAGTTTGTGCCCATTGATATAGAGTAAAAGAATAAAGTTATGTAAGACCACAGGATTCACGAACCTTAAAGAAAAATAATATTTCACCAATTTTCAATGTTTGTATCCTTATGAGATCTTTAAATGTGATATTTACACTTCAAATAACTGAAGCAATTTCCTGAATGTTCAAAGCAAATGTAAAGCAGCCATATAAATGTTTAGAGAGCTAACTATATACAAATCGATAAACAGTCAATGCATCCAAAGTTAACACTCTATACAAGAACATAGTGACTACACTCTGTTAGGAAGTAAAGATTCAGGCCAAGCCAGCATCAGGATTCCAAAGTGCAATTAGTACCAGATGCTTAAGAAAAGTCAGCCACTGGATGACTAGGGAGAGCTTATTCTCTTCATTATTTTCTTTTTCTTTTTTAGCAGAACTAAATGTTTTTGATGTCCCTATTCCCCATCAACCTCCTCAGTTTTCAGAAGGATTGGTAGTTTGCAGAGGGCCAATCCATAAAGCTGAGGTGATAGCGTCTTTGGCAGCTGAAAATCATTTGCTATGATTTTTTTTAACTTTTATCTAAAGAAGGGGAAACTTTTATGAAGTTGGTCCAATGGTGGGATCCAACCTTTTTTTACTACCAGTTCTATGAGAGTGTGCTTTGCGCGCATGCGCACACCTAACATGCACTTTGCACTTTTCACAGCAATCAAAAACCACAGCTGAGGCGCGGCAGTCTGCTCTGCCACGCGAATTAGCTGAGCTCAAAACCAAGGAAATAAAGGACAGGAAAGGGCAGGGGTGGGTAGGCAGGGCCAACTGCTGCGAACCTGCAACATCCCATCACTGAGTTAGTCCCAATGTGGAAAAATATCATTTGATCGATCTACTTAGCAATATACTGTATTTACCGAGACCTGTTTATACACTACAGTAAAAGAGTAAACCCTTATATTCACAATATTACAATGAAATCATTTGGCATATGTTAACTTGATTGGAGAAGCACAGTATCCCTTGATGCAAAGCAATCAGTTGATTTAAATGCATTTTCTGCTCCTACTTAATTTACCATGCACGAAAGGTGGAGGAGAAAACTTTTTTTTCATTTCCACTCTTCCCATATAAATTAATAAATATGTGCTACATTTAAATGATTACATTTTTTGCACAGTTAGCATATAGGCCAGCATCATGCCGAGAAAGGTTTGGTTCTCTGTAATAAATCACTCCAGAGTTTTAAATATTAAAAGCATGGATTCCTTTCCACCACGCTGCTGGTTTTTCATCTGCAGTGCTGCTGATCACTTTTTGAAGCAGAATGCCAGCTGCTCAGATTGGCAGCTCTTGCTAACAGCCACATATGCTAAATTATGCATCTCCAACAGGCATTCCTATGTGGTGGCTTCTTCTAGTATATTATACATCTAGCCATAGATACTGTATATCAGAGCTGGATAAAAGAGCAGTAGAACAATAACAATGCAGCATCCAACCTGAACTCTCCTGTGATATAATATCAGTTGTGAAAGAGCTCCTCCTCCTCTTCCTCCTCCTTCCCCCTGCCCTCTCTTCTACCAATTACATCCATATCTTACTCCCACCCCTGGGCAAAGTATCAAGGCTGAGGTTTTTGTATCAGCTACCTTTTCCTATGTGGACTTGGTTCCAGAGGGGAAGTCTTCTCACAGAGTTAACGTTTGATGACATTCCTTCTGGTTTCCCAAATGCCTCTCAGCATAAAACAGGCAATTAAGGATGATTTATGGCTGTTTAGTAAGGGCAGAGGAAGGGGTTATTCCCAAATAGTTGGCACAAACCACACATATTTATACATATGCATACACATGTTGCAGTCTATATACCAAGTGCTTGGAAATTTTCTGCCTGTGTTTTCACCCTCTTGTTATGGTTTGATGCTCTTAGCTGCTATTCCCTGTAAGTAACAGATTCCCTCTTCAGAAAATTTATTCACATATTTTATGGCTATTTTTCTTGGCTGATTCTAGAGTATTTTATTTTATTATTCTGGAGAAAATCCCCAAACTTAATAGGTAAAAGCATATCCAGGCCTTCTCATCACAATGCATCCCAACAATGTATCCCATCACAGACAGCGGCAGTTATCGAAATAATTTATGTGCAAGAACTCAAAGTCAATTTGTAGGAATAGACCCAAAGAGTTCTACACAAATTAGAACAGGACAGGACAGGACAGGACAGGACAGAATACTTTATTGGCCAAATGTTATTAGACACACAAGGGATTTGTCTCCAGTGTATTAGCTCTCAGGGTACATGCAAAATAACAAAGTAATAATAATAATCATAATAACAAGTTAATAATAATCATAATAATGATACCAATAATAGAAGGTAGTGGAACAGGTGAAAAAGATAAAAGTAATACAGCTATACTGTCAACCCTAAGCTGACCTGGCTGATGCCATCTTGGAGCTTCAGTGTTGCCACTGGATATGGAGGGAGGATTAGAGATAGCTGGGGATGTGTAGCCAAAATAAAATATTTTCTCTTGGGAACCAAGGATGTACTCACACCTGGCCGGAGGAAGGAGGAGTGATGTCACCAGACCAGCTGATGCTGCATTGATTGGGCCATGTGACTGATTGTTTGGGACTGGGGGGGGGACTTTTACTTTTAATTAGGTAAAAACCAAGAGGCCCTTTAGAGTTGGTTTTCACCAGATATGTGCCAACTTGATATTTCCAATAATGCTATTATTTGAGAAATCTACCTGCCTCAGAATTCTTGCTTGCAATGGATCTATTACTTGGAACCCTGACACATACTTAGACATAAGACAGTACTGTGTTTATTAGGTGTTCAGCAGAATGATGGCATGACAAAAAAAAACTGCCTCTGTATCTAGTTATTTTAGCATACAATGGGTCTTGTTTTTGTTTGTTTTTTGAGAAAAAAATAATTACCATCCACAGAAGCAGACTACAGAAACTTGAAAATAAAATGGGTGCTTCTACAGATATTAGCAAGTTTTAAGGACATTAATTCCCACTGTGGCCATTTACAAAGCTTTCAGACAAATATTTTTTATCTATTTGTCTAATAATCATGATTTATCTCTCATATTTTTACAGAAAATGTACAGCAAATATCTGGACTACCCTGAGCTATAGACTGAATTTTCTTAACAATACTCAGAGGGAAGGCTTTGATGCTGACTTGCAAAGGAAATGGAATATTGCCTCAAGGACTCTACCAAAGGATTCAAAAGATTCTTCTGCAAAACTACACAGCTGCCATAAGACATCCAATGAGAAAGAACTGCAACCCAAACCATGAAAGGTTCTTTTGATTATCCTATTTAATCCCTATTCATAAAGATTCTTGCTTACTGGTTCTCGGCCATCCATTGCTTCCATCCACAGCCTTCGATCTTCTTCAGAAAGTGCCTGCATTGTAATCACTCCAGGCCTGCAGAGATGAATGGAATGATGCTGTGAATAACAGGTTTAAAAAATGAAATAGGAAAAACAGAGGTGGTAAACCAGGCAAACTCAGCAAAAGCTACTACAATGCACCTTTCAATGGTTCAGACTCAAACTCAAATGGAACAAAACTATGTGCATTAAAAAAAGAGAGACTAAAGTAGATCATCAATTTTCCAATTCCAAACACAAATATTCCAAGCAACATATTTCAACTATTCATGAAGGCAATTCAAATAAAAAAGAATGGTCACAATAGGCTGCCAAAACACAATCCCCCCAACAGAACCTTCATAAAAGAGCAATCAAGGAAAATTCTCATTAATTAAATTGATGGGGTTTGTATTTCTGTCAAAATCTAACCCAAAATTGCTTTTTCAAGAGGCAACTGGACTTGTTTTTCTTTGAAGACACTTCGTTTCTCAACCAAGAAGTTTCTTCAGCTCTGACAGAACAGTAGGGAAGGGAAGGATTTATACTCCTTGCACACAGCTGGTAATTTGCATTCTTTGCACTACTCAGGTGACCCTGAAACATACCTCCAAGTGGCCTCAACAACTCTCTAAAAGAATGCAAATGACTCTTGAAAAAGCACCTTTGGGACAACCATGATCTGGATGACTGAGAATTTCCACAGACATTTGTCAAAGTCTATCATCATATTTATATAGATTGTATCAGTCAGAGAAGTAATGAAGCTTCTGAATTATCACAACAACCTTCCCTCAACTTGATGTGGAAATCTATCTAATCTACCGAGGGATAGACATTTTTGATAATAAAAGAAAATTTGATTTATTAATCAATTAAATATTTTGATTCAAAGTTACCAAGCTGCTGCAACTAAGATTTAAAAAAAATAATGTTCTCCTTCAAGTTCTTCACTATTGGTTGATGGAAAGAAAGAGAACAGCTGAAAAAAAAACTAGTTTATGAAATTGATAAGAAATGGAAAGTCAGCTTGAATGAATTGATTAACATTTCAATATGTTTTAAAAATAAATCTTCAAAAGATTCTGTAAAAGGGAGGATAGCAGCAAATGATTAAGATCACAACCAGTAATAGGAATTATACTCTCAAACCAAATGGAACAGCATAAGTATCAAATAACAAGTAATTCATGTTGGCAGAGTTCCAAAGGGTGAATTATTTTTTATTGTATATATCAATAGGTCTTCTCTACTTCTAGAACCTTGAGAGCATTTATAAGATGCCATTTGTTTTCTGTATTCATCTGTACCGATCTTTTCCACATCAATACAATGTATGTTCTCCTGCTTTGTCAATGACTATGCTATAAAGCGACTGTTGTGATACTTCTGCTCTGAGAAGAGTTAATTTTTAATGATAATTTACTCTATTTTGTATCTTTAATGAAAATGGGGGAAAAATGAATAGTGACATTTCTCAAAGATTCATAGCGTCGTCAGCAAAATCTTTTGCCTACAAATATTTGGCAGTAACTATTGCAAGAATCTGTCCAATCAATGCATGAAAATGTCTAAAATGAAATGGAAAACTATAATGAAGCATATTAATGTGCCTCACAGTTATAAGAAAATTAACATATATCATGGAAAGTGACATTTGGCTTCTGCCTCAACAGCAATGGAGAATAAAAATTCAATTTTTAATCATATAAATTTAGAAACTGCCAATCAGAGAATTACAATTATGTCCACAAAAAAAGCTCACACAGTTTATCCAGGAAAGGATACAGGGCATTTCAGCTTGCATGACATACAGATGTAAATTATTCAGATTTAATAATGTTATTTTCACTAATCTCTTTCTATAATAACCTGAAAACTATAGAAATAGTATCCTGAAAAAATATTTGTCTAAAAAAACCACCCTAATTTATAGCTTATCTGGAGGACTGCTGAAAATTACATTTGTCAGTGCTAGTTTTTTTTTTATATGGACTATTTTTTCATAGAGATTTAGCTCACTTTTGGGCCTAATCTAGCATGATCCTTCTCTTAAATTAAAGCAGAACAAATCTCTGTTGAATGTCCTAGCCTAACAAACCTGTTTTTAACTGAAGTTAAACAGAGACAGAAGCAACAATGAGTTTTTGTTCTTATGATTAAAAATAAAGAGGTGGAAGGAGCCAGCAGCTTTCTCTCTTTTAATCCATACTTCGTTTTCATTATACTGTTTCTACAAAGGAATTTAATTTAAAAGAAAAAAGACATGGGTTGGAAATCTTGTTCATATACAAGTTATACCAAGCAACAAACCTAGTGCTAAACAGGGCTCATTCCAGAATAGGTCAAATCAAGCGTAACAGATAGCACAAACAGGTAAGTGTATTAAAGTCTGGGACTATGTTCTTAGAAAATTTGGCAACGTCTTTGAATAGAGCCAAAGAGTTGCTTGGCAAACAGGCAGCCATATAAAGTAAGTGAGTGAACAAGTGAAATCAGACTTCTCCTTTTGTCTAAAAAAGACTTCCACTGTGTGTTTATTTCTTTTTGTCAGGCACTACACAAATTCTACAAAGCAATAATGGAAATGCTAGCCTGCAATATTGCATTCTAACCACTGCACCACTGCAGCTCTTGATAGTTATAATTTACAGTTAATTAGAATCCAGTGTTTTCTTTCCCTATTATCCAAAATCTATCTTTATGATCCAGTGCTGAATTCACCAATCAAGTTCCCTATTCATAAGGAGCAAACTACCTTTGGGGAATCGCCACTTGCACCTCTCTACAAAACAGCAAAAAAACCGGAGGGAGAGTATAAGCTTTAAAGTTACTTAGCATTAGTCAGAACATGGTAATTTCAAGATTTTGTTCATTTGTAAAGGTCACTGGAAATGTGACACAGCACAAGAACAAGTACAGGTTGTATTGCATTTGACCAGCACAGAGCTCATCTAAGAGAAGGAGAAAAATGAATATATAAACAAAGCTGAAACACTGCAGGTAAGAGGGGTAAAAAAAAAAAAAAAAAAGAGCCTGCTGTGTCAACACAATCAGTGCCTATGGGCAACGCACAGGCCTCATGATACACTATGATTTTGATTTTTTTTTAAATGAAGAGACAATACTTTAAGACCAAAAAGAACTATGAACCATGAAGATAAACAGTACATTAGAAAGAAAACCAAGAGCTAACAAAGAAATAAGAAAAACCCTTAGAGGTAGCTTTAAAGAGAAATATATTTTAAATTGCTAGATTGTTCTATCCAGAATATTTGTACAAATAAAAGCCTCCTTTTAGGAATAGCATTGTTATTATAACCAATAAACATTATTATAAATTATGTTTGAAAAATATTTTCTTAACTTTTGAATTTTTAAAAAATGCTTTTTCAATTTTGTGTGTGTGTGGGAGGAGGTTCAAAGCAATCTCCCATATTTTTCTATAGATCTGAATTATCTTCACGGCCAGTTCTTGATAATTTGTTCAGAGTTTAAAGAAATTATGTGCTGCAAAGAATTCAATATGATTCATCACTCTATTTGTGATTCTTGGCTAGGAAGGCAAAATATGCTTTGGAGCCACACCATCCAATATAAGGCAATGGTGCTATAAGGTGTTGTCTCTATATATCCAATGCACTTTTTGCCTTAAACTCCAAAGTTTGAGTTTCAGACTTCAGATTGTTCTTCCAGGATTCTTCCAGGGAACCTGTCCCACTTAATGCAAGAATTCTCCATATTATTGAGAAAAATTCCTTGCTTTTAAATAAAGTAGTTAAATATCATTCTTAAAATTTAGCATTCAGGATAACTACTGTAAATAGTTCTATCAGATCCTCTATCTTCCCATTCCTCATATTGAACAAATTATTTCCCATGCTTAAAAAAAGATTTGAGTGAAAATCAGAAGAAGTGAAAAGTGAAGAACTAATGTCTGCTATTTGCCATATGCAGATTTTACATGAGGATTTGATGCAACTGCTTTACATTCTTTATTTAATATTTTGTCATCTGAATTTTGCAATTATTATCTTGAAATTATTATTACCTGCTTTCCTATCACTTCAGCAACTTTAATATAGCAACTTTATGGAGCAACACATAGACTTTAGCTTTAAATAAAGTCTGTCCATATTTAACACACTGAAAGGAATCTATGGTACATGTTACAACAGAAAGGCACCTTCATTTAAAAAAAAAACCTCGGCTAAAAAGATAAAAATTTGGCTAAACATGACTAGAAACAAAATGCATAATTTACAAGTAAGGACAACTCAAAAAGAGTGTGACCTAGTAATCTGTTTGGTGAAGATCAATCCAGAAATTATTTTTTCACCTTCCTGTAAGTCCAATGCTGCTTCTTATGGAAGTGAACATCAGTGATCTGGAAGTGATGAATGAAATGCAATCAAATTTGTATTAGGGCTTTGTGAATCCATTTCTACCTTATATCAATGGAGCTAGAGGTAGGTAGGCACTGTGTTTCTCACAAAATAAGGCTGGGCCTTATTTTTTTTTGACCCCTGAAAAAACGGCTAGGCCGTCTTTTCGCGAGTGACTTAATTCCCCCCCCTTGCATCCTCAGGTGGGCGGGCGGCAACGGCTTGGATGTTGGCCTCGGCGTTGGTGGGGCACTTCGTATCGGGAGACCTTCCGCTGCCATTGCTTTCCCTTCTCCCATGCTGCCGTGGCATTTAGAGCAATGCCGCGGTGTTTGGTGCAGTCATGTGTGGCCAGCCAGGGCTTCTCCCTTCAACCAGAGCCCAGTACAGACACTTGGCTTCAGGTGTTCCTGTTGCTGCTTTCCCTTCGCCTTCGAAGGCAAAGCCAATTGTTTTAAAAATGACGCCCTACTACCGGTACGACAAAGCCTTCCCTGCCCGAGAGGGCAGCCCAACCCCACATGGGGAGGCGAATCTCCCAGGGCCACAGCGCAGGATTGGCCCACCCCGGGAGAAGCGGCCAGCCGCCATCCCTGCCTGGCGCTGGGCAGAGCGCGAAGAGCTTCGCCTGGGGTGCCCAGCGCAACTGACAGGCAGGCCCTCCTGTCCG